AAATATTATGGGCATTCTTTTTTTTTATTTTAGTATTATAATTTCTAAATTCAGATAGAATCATCATCTCTCTTTGTATGAAAATGACATTTGGAGGATGGCTATAATCTGGGTGGGGAAATGCCACTAATTCCACTAATCTTTCGTTTTCTCCAGCTAAAAGCTATGATGCAAACTGGTATTAATATTAATCCCAGTAGTCTGACAAATCTGTTACTTGTAATTTACCATAAAACTAACTGATTTATGATCACAAATAGGTAGCCTTAAACAGAAATGTGAACCATTGGATTCTATTTAACGATACAATCTACATTGTATTTCTTATGCTATCTCTTTTTTGTCTCATAGAGGCATAATCTACCGTATAGTTTCCATTCCTCCATGAACATATTGATTCAATGATAGAAAATGTGTAGGGTTAGAAAGCGATATTATTTTCATATTAAGTGAGGGCATCTTCACGTATTCCACCACGTCAAGCATTTCTTATGTTTCTCTTAATGTTTCTCCATAGGCTCAAATAGAATTAGTGATTTTCCAGGCCACTAAGAATATTAAGCATATCCGTTTGTAAACTTTGCTTATGTGCAATATCTTAAATGTGTTAAAATGAATTTTTAATTTTAAAATACATTTTTTCCAGTTAAAGCATAATTTATATACAGTAAAATTCACCATTTAATATACAGTTTATGTGAGTTTTCACAAATACATACTCATGTAGTCACTACCACAATCAAGATATAGAACAATTCATCACTCCAAAAAATCCCCCTGTGCCTTGTGTAAATTTCTCCCTTTCTCCTAATCCCCTGGAAATTACCAGTCTGAGTTATGTCCATATAGTTTTGCTTTTTTCAGAAGGTCATATAAGTAGAATTATACAGTATGTAGCCTTTCGAGTCTGGCTTCTTTCTACTTAGCATAATATGTTTGAGATTCATCCATGTTGCCAGGCGTATCAGTAGTTTGTTCCTTTTATCATTCAGAGTAAGTATGCCATTGTAAAACACACCATGATTTGTTTATCCATTCCTCTAATGAGGAACATTTGAGTTGTTTGCATTTTTTGGCAATTGCAAATAATGCCCCTTTAAATATCATCATGAAGTCTTTAATGTTCAACATGTATTAGAAAATTAGATTCTCAAGAAAAGTATAAGTTTCCTCAAAATTTATCTTCTTGGTTGCTAAAACAGACCCATACAAGTGTTAGAAATAATATTGGTTAATTTGAAAATGTAACTTAAAACTTGTTTCTCCAATTTAACAAAAAGTCAATTCGAAAATGTAACTTAAAACTTGAATAAGTTAATTTGAAAATGTAACTTAAAACTTGTTTCTCCAATTTAACAAAAAGTCAGTGAAAATACTTACAGATAAAGCTTATGTTAAACCTAATAATGTACCACACTGACTTTTCTTGAGGTCATGTACCCTCAAAATTAGTATGTATAAAACTTATTCAATATATTGAGGAAATGACATATGTGGTGGATGTGCCATCATTTCGAATACAGCTATATTTTGTGTTACCATTTCTCTGGGCTGCGATTTCTCTGAATTAAGTATTTTTCCTGTTATGATTGAGATAGTTAAAAGTAACATGGACTAATGTACATGGCATGTCAGGCTGCAAAGATTCAGTTTTAATAAAAGATATTCTTTAAAACATTGCCTTAGGATACTATTAAATAATGAGTCTTACATGTAGAAAACAAGCAAAATATATCATATTTAAAATGCTTTTCTAGATTATGAAAGGATCCTAAAAATGATTGTTTCTTCCTTTAACAACATGGTCATGTATTTCTCTAATCACCGGTCATTATTTTCTTTAAACGCTTTTGCGTATTCCCCTGGACAGTACCATGCCAAGCCTTTGTTGATTCAGGATCTACCCTTAAGCGTTTTGCAATTCAAGACAGAAATAGAAGAGAGATGTAGATGAATTTATAGAAAACATAATGTCAATGAATAAACATGTATTAAATTACACGTAATAGAAAAGATTAAATTTCAAAACTGTTTTGTGGGGCAGTGACACAAGAGGTTCATATATAGACAACAAAAATGGATGTTCCTACTTCACTTTTTTTTCTGGAAAAGTTGATGTACTAATTTAGGTATCAAGAATTGCTCAAATGAAGAAAGAAAAATACTTGGTTGGGTGATGTTTGAAGTATGTTATACAGGTAAAGCCAATAGGATATGCAGAAGGTCACCTCTCTGATTATATGCCTCACACCATTAATATAGAATTGTGTAGAGAAATACATCTGTAAGCCTTCAGTTTCAAAAAATCACTAATTAAGAACAGCGTTGGAACATATATTCTTGGTTTGTTTCAAAAGTGCACGTGCAGAAAATGAATGTATTACTGAAGGCTCAAATAACTAACATAGAGTGAATTTAACAAGAGGTGCACGTTGCGGTAAAGACGGCTATACATCTTGGAGAGTATGTGTCCTTTTGCATTATCAGTGTATTAACTCAGGGATGACAGCACAGTGCAGAACACACCATGAATGTATGGTAATGTAAAGAATATGAAGTGATGGATGTACATGGTAGGATGGTTTATTTGGCAGCTTTAACTTGGAACCAGCCAAATATATTTGCTCTATTTTTTTCCTTTAGTATCCGAAGAATTTCCCATAAGCTAAATCAATAACTGAAAATTTTCTTGTATCCCAAAATTAAATATTTTCCCCATTGAGAAAAGTAGACATACATGATAGCTAATGAAAATTCTTAAGATAATTATTTTACCACTTATTTAGTTGCCAGTAAAATTGAACTCGCTTCTTGAATGAGTTTGTGAAGAAGGAAAAAAAATTCCACAAATAATTACATATATAATTATATTAATGTAATCCTATATAATAATGTAATCCTTTACATGAATTGAGATTTCTTTTTTGGTATTTTGTAATCAGTTTCTTTATCTTATTTGTACCTTCCTCCTCTCTTATTCTTTTAAGACTTTATTTTTCAAAGCAGTTTTAGATTCAGAGGAAAAGGTACAGGGATTTCCTCTATACCCCTACCCTGACAGGTATCCAGCCTTCTCTGTTTTGTTTTTCATTTCCTTCAAAAATACTCCATCTGTTGATTTGCAGCAAAGTAAATGAGTAGAGGAAAATTACTCAGATGAAGTTCTTTATCATTGAAGAGAAAATATAGAATCAGCCACAACAGATGTGATTTCAGAAATTATCTGTTCTTGTCACATAATGCAGTGCTGCTTTAAAAACTCTTGTCTTTGGAAGTAACCTACAATAGGCAGAGAGTAGAACATTCCTAAATATTTGGTTGATGTCTTTTTCTTTTATACAGTATATATTTGAATTGCATAGGAAAAAAAGTTTCATTATGAATTAAAGTATGTTAGGACATAGAAAGAAGGTATATTTTTCTTACTTGCTAGTAAAACCCATCTTTGTCCTTGAGTTAGCTAAATTGATATTCATGTTTATAAGAGTTTGTAGAAAGGTAATGTTTGAAATCCCCACTCTGATGCCCATCAAGTCACCATTTTGCAGTCCATATCTTCACAGGCCTTCATTCGTAATGTGCATCTTCTAATATTACACCATAGAAGATGTAACCCTTAAGTTATTCACAAGGTCATTAGCTTGTGCTCTGGGCACTGACAGTGGACTTTCTGTCACTGCATCACTGTGTTTTCATCTCACTATGAACTGTCATTTTAATTCCAAGGTCCTCCAAATAAGAATCAAAAATTCCTATTGAAACAGTCTCCAAAGATGGGTAAAAATAACACTTTTAAAAAATCTTCGAAGAAATTTTTCTTTCTTTTCTGAATTTCCTAGAGACTCCAATATATTGTTGAAACTTGAAAACCTTCAGGTTTTTCACAGTGTCTTCTTGTAATGGTGACAAAGAAAGCCCTTAAAATTGTTTTCATTCTAACTAGTGAGAAGAAATCAAGATGAAAAAGTTATTTAAGGCTTGACGGCTAATATACCAAAGGCCTCTTGCTCCCTCTACAGAAGGTGCTTCAAAATTGCAGTCACATTTTTAAATTTTATTTTAATGAACAGATTTGTCATGAGGTTCATGATGATTAACAAAAAGCTTTGGATCCCAGTGTATCTCCAGTGTCTTGCAAACTGGTTAGTTGTCCTAAAGTTGGTCAGGGTAGGTTTGGTGTTTTTCTCTTGCATTAGCAAAGGTGAAATTAAACTCCAGTAGCAACAGCTGTGAAAAACAGTAGGTCGTTTTCTTTTTTTTCCGCTTGTTTGTTTGGCTGTGTTTTATTTACTCTCATGGATTGTTAAAATGCTTGAATATTTCTTTTGATATTAGGTGATCATTTTACTCATTTTTTTTTTTTTCGATTTAACCAGGGAATTTAAGCCATAAAAATAACGTACTGTACCTCAACAACTTGATCAGTTCTCTTATTATTTACTTCTAATTGTTCTGGTCATTTTTAGTTCTTAGTTGTTTTCAGAAAAAAAAAATTAACGATTTGAATTTTAACTTCACAAGAGAAAGAATTAGTTCATTTAATTAAATTGGATTTTTTTCAGCTATAGGTAATACAAGAGAAAGTTTCATCTTTCTATAAAAATTTCATTAATATATAAAATTACCATGCATATATATTTACCATCTTAATTTACCCATTTAAGTTAAATTGGACAAAGTGTTAATATTTTAGTAGCTTTGAATAATTTTATGCATTTTTTCTTACAACTCCAAGACCATTTCATTCGACAGGTTACTAGTTTTCTTATTTTGCCATTTAAAATCAGCAGTATGAAAATTCTTATATTTCATCAATAGTCTTAACAAGAGATTGAAAACCCTTTTCATTTGTATTTAGTATAAGAACAGCCCTCTTGTTACCCTGTAATTGAAAAATGAACACAAGTAGCTTCTTTGATTTGAATATATTACATCAGACTTACTGGTTCTAAATTATTATGCTTAAACTACACTGGATTTTTCTTTTTCCCCTCTGGTAGGTGTACTGGTCCATTAGCAAATTCTCTTTCAGAGAAAACAAGAGACTCAGTAGAGGAAGCTGATGATGAATACAAGATTCCTTCATCCCATCCTGTTTCCCTGAATTCACAACCATCTCATTGTCATAATATAAAAACTCCTCTTAGGTAAGAATGTGGACAGCTTTTTAATCACCTCACATCTGCATGAGCATTATCATTTCTGGTGTTTATTTTTAAGCTGTTGAATCATATCTATTGTTTAAATATCTTTGCTTTCTTGCCCAAAACTGCTGCTGCTTATATATTATTTCCTGTATTACTTTCAGAGAAAACTAAAAGATGCAGATTTTTCATGAATCAGGAAGTCATTTGACTAAATTAGTTGACTAGTAAGTCAGTGGGACATTTCGTTGCCTCTCTCTCCTAAAAAATGTAACAAATTATACTCTGATAAAACTTGGCTATAGGTTACATGGTGATTAATTCGTGAATATTCAATAAACTATTTTCAATCCATTTTATCAGTTCTAAGTACAAATCTCATGAAGAAAAATTAGTACTTAGAAACTAAGGTATTATGCCAACCTTCCTTAGAATTTTTCTTCATGATGTAAAGATTAGTATAATTTATATTCATTTCCTTTCTTGATGTGCTACCTACTTCTATTCAGCTCATGAAGAAGTTAAAAAACAATGTTTCCCTTAACTGTTTTTTTCAAATCATTTTATTTTTTTATTTTTCAATTACAGTTGACATTATTATTTTATATTAGTTTCAAGTGTATAGCATAGTGGTTAGATGTTTATGTAATTTACAAAGTGATCCCCTCAATTAGTCTAGTACCCACCTGGCACTGATACCAAACTATACTATAAATCTATAGTAATGAAAACAGCATGGTGCTGGCATAAAAACAGACACATTGATCAGTGGAACAAATAGAGAGCCTTTAACTTTTTTTAATCAGGTACTTACCTATTTTACTTTTGCTTGTATCAAATAAGAATATAAAGAATAGTGTTTTCTTCTTGTCAGTGGTTTATTTTCACTATAATGGAGACATCCTTGATCTCAATGAAGTGGCAGCCTCATTGAAGTATTTGAGTTACCAAAAATGGGTGATGTATATTGAAATATTAGTTTGTCTTTAGGTAGAAGGATGATTCTGCATTTATCGAATTAGTATACCATAATCTAATAATATTTTTCTGTTTATTTTTTATCAGGCTGACATATGAGTTACTCAATAAGTGAAATCTCAGTTTTAAAACTTGCTTTCTAAGTTCCAGTTTACTTTGTATAATAACATCCCTGGAGCTAAGCTGGGAACATAGAATAGTGCTCACCGCTGGTAGCCCAGACTTCTGCCTGCCAGTATCTCCTTGTTTGAGAGATAGGTGAGCCATTGAACACTTCAGTCATCTGTGTCCTCTTTACTTAGTGTACCATTTCCTTCTGAGTCAAGTCAATCAATGGAAAGCATTTTATGCATGGAGCGATCCCTTTTTAAAACTTAAAAAAAAAAAAATGTTTTTTAATGCCTTTCTGTGAGTTTTATTTTACAGTAGATAATCCAGTACTTGAAAAAGAGAAGCAAATCTTCATTTTAACCAGAGATCTGTCTTAATGAATGATCTTGGTTAGAACTATCAACACTCTGCAGAATTATTAACCAGGATTATTAACACTCTACAGTCCAGGGCTTCCTACTTTAAAGCAAGAACCAAAGCATTTCTTGCTACTTATTAGAAACATCTTATGTTTCTAATCTGATGTTTAAGATGTTTGTGGCTAAAATATTATCATTGAGAAGACAAATAACTGAGGCAATTTTTTAAAACAGAAGAACCCAATGTCCACTACCTTTATCAGAGAAAAACTTGTCCCTTTACATTAAATATAAATTGTTATAATTTTCAGTTCCTATGGATCCTACAAATGTGTAGCAATTTTTAAAAACTAAAACAAGATGAAATTTTTTGGTCTTCATGGGATCTCATTATTTTTCATTGCTAGAGAAGTGAAGGGTATAATTTAAGTACTTTAAATTTTAATTGTCCTGTCGTATTGGATGAGCTGTTTGGTGACAGGCCTCCCAAATCATGAAAATAAATTTGAATTATGACCATCATTATCATCTTTGTACAGCTATAGAGAAGTAGTAAATGTTGATAATTCCTAAACGTAATTGGGGTGAATTTTTTATCTAATTTGTTTTTGAAAGCTGATGGATGAAGTATCTTATGTTCTCTACTAAACACTTTAAGCTTAAAAACGTTCTTTTCTTCTGTTCCCCCCTCCCTTTGGAATATCAGGGAATTGTCAATATGTGGAAAAAGTTAAACAGTAGATGAATAATTCAATTCAGTTTCAGTAAAAATCCATCATTATTATGAAAATTCAATACATGATAACTATTTTTAAATGAACCCTCTCTGGCCCCTTGAAGAGATGTGGCCACCAGAGAGAATGGAAATGAGTTTCAGATGAAGCACTCTTGCAATAACTATTCAAATATCCACTGTCTCCTCCATTATGTATGTACTTCTACTTTGCCCCAAGAATTCAGAGTAAATTGAAGTAAAATATAAACTCTGCTTTCAGTCGCTCTTTGTGAGCAGAATAACTTGGTGAGCAGAGTTCATTGTCACACAGCTATATTCTGAAGACACAATATGCTCTGTATCTTCTCTTTCTGCTGCTGTCTTCCCATTCCTCAGTTTTATCCATTGTGTTTATAGTATGATTTCAACAACAAAAATACTTATTTTGTAAGTACACTCCATTATAGACACCTAGATTAAAATATTTGTGTGTACCCAGGGTTTTTGCTAAAGTCATTTTTGTACAGTTGTCAGAAGTGCTAGAGTTTTGTTCATGGCAGTGGTGAAACTATACTATAGACTCTAGGGTTTTCAATATGCCTATCAAATTTTAGTGTTATTACTGAACATTTAATAACTCTCCATCTTTGATGGGCTCCAGTTTATTATAGGAAAGCTTAAATTACAGAAATAAAAATATAATATTAAAATACCATCAACAAATAATGAAGTCGTTGGGGCTATTATATATTTTTTGCCTTCGTACATTTTTTTCTTCAGAAACTTGACAGTATTATTGAACTCTTCCAAAATGATATGTTAATTTCACACCTGTGTTTTAGGATAGCAACAATTTTTGTGACCCTGTAATTTTTGGTTTCACTTATAAAAGAAAAACTATCTTTAGTGGGATGCTTACTTCTGCTTTGTAAAAGTATTTGAGTAAGAGTATCTAGGTAATATTGTACTTTTTCCAAAAAAGAAAATTATATTTATTTTCAAACTTTATTATATGAGCTGGGTTGCTAGTTCCCATCACCACCACCCCTCCCAAATGACTTTTAAATGGAAAGTAATTATCCTTATGATTTTGTTCTCTGATCTCTGCTTTAGGTCTTGTGACAATGGCCATTGTATATTGAATGGAACACATGGTACATCTTCAGAGATGAAGAAATCAAACATCCCTGAGTTAGGCATCTATGTAAAAGGTATGTATAAACATATTCTCTTTGTGTTCTACATCTTAATGGTCAGAATTTAAAGGCAAAATTCCATACCATTGTTGTACTGAAAATACATTAAGATTTTGTGTTATCCTCTAGGAGATGTTTTTGATTCAGCCTCTGATCCAGTGCCATTACCACCTGCCAGGCCTCCAACTCGGGACAATCCAAAGCATGGTTCTTCACTCAACAGGACGCCCTCTGATTATGATCTTCTCATCCCTCCATTAGGTTAAAACCTTTAAAAAAAATTTCAAACAAGCCACCGTGCCTCTTTCAGTTAATATCAGAATTATCAGAAAGCAGAGTTCAGTGCAATGCAGACTCACTAGGTTATGGATTTATCTGAATTAGAATGGATTCTTCAGGTGATGGTGGCTCTCAAGTTTATGTGACCATTATTCCATTTAGATGATTGAAGCAATGGTATAAATAGCTGGTCGTCAGTCAGGATTTTATCATTATCTCTTTATGTACTAAATGCAGTCTACAAAAAAAAAAAGAAAGAAAGAAAACATGAGAACATTGATCATCCCCTCAGGCACTTATGTTCTAGTAGATTTGAAGTGTTCATCTGAGATTTAAGTACAATTCTTAACGAATGTGTACTTTTTCTTTTAGCATAAAACGATCCAGTTCCACTTAGCTAGTCATATTATGAAAAATTATATATTTTATTATAGACAGCTGAGAATAAATTCTGTCTTATAATCATTGCAGCTACAATACATCCAAAGAATCTTAATCTTTTTTTCAAATTTTAATGAGGAAGTTCAGTAGTGTGTTTGTGTGAGTACACATGTTAAAGTATACACAGATGTGTGTATATATGTTAAAGTTAGCTAGTGCTGGTGTCTGTGTTTATTTCATCAATTCCAGGTAGGAAGCCCCTCACCCTATTATTAGAGGAAGACAGAACCTCCATACACCTTAAAGTTCCACAATAACAAGACACCATAATATAACATGATGAAGGTCCATTTATTAGCTTATCTGAATTATTAAGCTATTAGAAATGTGAAATAACCTTTTTGGTTTTTTTCCACAAACCCCATCAACCAGTGTTTCCAATTATACTACTGCATTGTCTTCTATTCTCTTGTTCTTTCTGTAGTTCAGTGCTTTATTCTCATCTACGTGTATTATAAGATCCTCCTAACTACCTTCTTTACCTAGTGTTTTTCTCCCTTCTACTTCTTCCTATATAGTGGTTTTTTGACCTATAACCTAAGTCTTCATGATCTAGATCAGCATTGTCCAATAGAACTTTATATGGTGATGTAAGGGACCTATATATCTGCATATGTAACTGTGCAACTTAATTTTAGTGAAATTTAAACTAAATTACTATATGCGGATGGTGACTACCATATTGGATAATGCAGATAAATGTTCTAACCTGTCTTTTTTACCACACCTTCCTCATGTACATCTCATGCTTTATTTATATAATTCATTCTGCCTAGAAGACACTGTCCTCACGTTTGATGAATATTTTTGAGCCCCTGATATTCAGACCTTCCTGTTCTTGATAACACCTTGCCCAGTGCCACCTTTGACATTTCTCTTCCCTCTTACAATGAATGCATCTCTCTGTGGGACCTATGAGATTTTTACCTTGAATCATTTGTGAACTTTTCTTAGATTTCCTCATGGAATCTAAGCTCCTTGGGTCAGGGCCTTATGACCCATGGGTAATTACCCATGGGCCTAGCACAGTGCCTGACGTTTAAGGGCTGAAAAGGGATTTGAATGAATAAGATACTGTAGCATATAGCTAAAGAAAGTTTGGAATAATAACGGAGCTCCCTCTCCTATACCTTCAAATATTTTAAGTTAGAAAAATATTTATGATCATTAGAGAAAATTTTCAATATTTTTTGCAAGGCAAGCTGGATTAGTGGTAAAACCATCATGTTTACACTTTTAAGTCAGTAAATTTAAATACGTGTGAATTTTTATTACTGGAATATGTAGGTGTTTATACACTTTCATTCACAAAATATTTGAGATTGCTTACAAAAATACATTGCAACTTTATTTTTAATGTAAGGGAAAATATGAGTAGAAAAGTAAGATGTGGCAGGGGAAAAATAGACATAAAAGCATGCTACAGTGTTATGTAGTTACTAATGCTGGGAAATATGCAAATTTAAGTAACTAGCTTTGGGACTACAAAAGATAGTTCTATATTTAACTGTTCCTCTTTAGAGATATCTTGTAAGTAGAAAAACATATTCTTCTCCTATAGGTGCATTTTCTGTATATTTTGACAATGAAATATATGGAGCATTAGCTTTAATGAATTAAAATCCAGCAGAGTAAACTTTAAAAGATAATCTATTCTGTGACTTTAAAATTTTTGTGCATGGTATGATTTTCTAATTAGAAACTGTGAATTCTTATTGTCATACAAAGAATTGTTTAAGGTTACAGGTGAATAATAAGCTGTTTCATAACCCTCAATGCTGCTTTTTAATAGAAAAATCTGGGAGATAGAAAAAATTTGCACGCACACGTGTGTTTGTGTATCTGTATTGCTGTTCTCCAAACACTCCCACAAAATAATTAACTCCCATTATCAAAGTCGGTGGATGGCTGGATAAACACTGCAGGTGAAGTTCTTTATAAGCAGCAAGAAAAAATCAATCTTTACTTTGGCCTGATACTGTGTTTCGACTAATTAAATTCTGCTGTTGATACCAACCTTTCTTTAAATGCAGGTGAAGATGCTTTTGACGCCCTTCCCCCATCCCTTCCACCTCCCCCACCTCCTGCAAGGCATAGTCTCATTGAACATTCAAAACCTCCTGGCTCCGGTAGCCGGCCATCCTCAGGACAGGACCTTTTCCTTCTTCCTTCAGGTAGGAGAGAAAAGCCAAGGAAAACTTTTGACGAAAGCAGAACTATTTCTAAGATTTAACTGTCAAATAAGCATTAGTGTATATTGGTTTCTATCTCCTGAGCAGTAAAAACCCTGCGTGGGGAAAAGAGCACTTGCGTAGGTTTCTCAGTTGGTTGGTTGAATGCCAAAAGATTACAAAAATGGCAAAAGCAATAAGAAATCATAGAATTTAGGAAGAGCGCTGTAGAGATCATGCAGTCCAAATGACACCCTCATGTTACAAAGGCGTCCCATAGAAGCAGAAGGGCTCCGTGATTGGGCTAATAGCAATGGGGACAAAATTTAGACCATCTCCCCCAATACTGAATGCAGCAGTTATTTTTTCAAATAAGTTTTTAAAATTTTACTACATATTTCTTAGGGTCATAATTTTGTTCAAAAACATAATATTTTGATAAATTATTTTGTTATAACATTGAAAGATAAATTTATCTGCATTTTATTTTGTTACTATTTTATTTTTAATGTCTCAGTATATTTACTCAAATTATTGGTCTTCAAGGAAAAATTAATACATACCTTGTTTTTTATTTAACTCAAGTGGGAAGAAAAATAGAGACTTCATGAACCATCCACTCTATTAGTCAAAATTATCAGGAAAAAAAATTCAGTTATATATTAACTGTTACACGCTGTCCTGTTGGTGATACTGTGATCTGTGCTCTGAAAGTTTGCCTCCTCATTTTGGATTGGTTAAACATAGGGTAAAGGTTTTCTTTCTCAACAATTGCTCTACATTTCTATATGAGATGAATCATGAAAAGGCCTTTAAAGAGTGCAGTTTATCCTTTGGCCATGCATATGTTTTCCCTGAGACACATGCAGCTATCGTTCATTTCTCTGGTTTTTTTTCCCACTCGGTTTGATAATTTAGAAAGTTGGAGGAGATGTGTGGGTAAGACACAAATTATAGACACATACATTGGAATATACAACTTCAGCTTCTACAAGTAGTTCATTTTCCAGAAATAATTTTGAGTTTAATTTTCATCAGTAAATATTGAATCATGCCTAGTATCACCTACTCTTTTAGATACCTCCCTGCCCTCATGGAGCATACGAATTCACTGGATGCTGTCACTCAGCAAGCAAGGGTCATAACCCCTCAAATCCAAGCAGAAAGCGTGGATAGCTTTTAGGCTTTTATTTATGTAGCTACATTTCTTATTTATATAGCTATCTTTTTCACTTAATAATTTTTCCAATTTTTGTTATATACATGAATTTTAACATTTAAAAAAACTGAATTACTCTAAATCTTAGTTAATTTTACCTTTCCTAAGGCTAACTTCTGAATAGTTTCTGGCCAGATTGCTACAGTGCGCCTGTCACCTCTTATATATGTGATTTAAGGCCCATTAAATGAGCATTTAATGTAGTGCCTGTTTTTAAAATTAAGCTTCCCAGGAGCTAGAAGAAAACATTTTACACAAAGACACACTTTTACCTCTTTTTATCAAAAGAATTAATTTAAAAATGATGTATTTATCATAATTTTATTCATTGTGCTTTATCTAAAAATCTTCACAAAAATGCTCTTAAGATTACTTTAAAAGATTACTTCAAAGTGAAAATTCCCCCTTTTATTAAATGAAACAAAGTTGTCTAAATTGTTTTATTTCATATATAGGTTTGATTGTTTTGATTTTGCTTGGCTGCCAGGGAGCACAGTAGCAGTTGGCCTAAACTAACTATGGTATTGAGTCCAGCATGGGACCAGAGCAGTGTCATTTGAACCTACTGACTCTCTCTTGACTTCCTTTTATACATGGAAGCATTCTAATGCCACTCCAAATAATGCTGGCATCCCTTGATCATAAATACTTCTAAGAAAAAAATGCTACTTTTTCTTTTCCTTTTCCAACCTTTCATAGCATTAACATGAAGAATGTCTAGTCTGTCGTTAGATCCTTTGTGAGTTCCATTTTATTCAATTTTAAACCATATATATTAGCTCTTCTCTTTTTCAAAAGAAGTAATTTTTACATATAGAATCTGAAGGTTTCTTTCTCTCATTTTGTGAAGTGTTTAATACATTCTGCTGTCTAAATAAGTGTAACAGAAGATTCATAGCAGAGGTTCTTCACCTAAAGAATTGAACTTCATGAAAGAATACTCTATAAATGCCAAAGGAATGTTTAATTCAATAGTTGTAGAATTGTACAGGGTAAAAAAAAAAAGTTGGATTTTCTCATGACTTTGTATTAAATACCTGATCAAACCTACCTCTTTATCCCAGCATTCAGTGTCCTGCACACTTAAGTCGGGTCCACCTTTCTGACCTTATGAACCAATAACTGCTCGCAGTAGCCACTCTAAACCGCAGAGTCCTGTGTTTCTACAAAGGAGCCTTAGGACTCCTGTAGGATCAAAGCAGGGAAGTGAAGCAGGAGCACAGCTCTGACGCTGCTTTTATCTACTTTCTATTTTAGGCCTTCATGTAAGATTTCTTTTGGCAAAATAGTAATACCCAGTGTTGTACATGAGCCATCTACTCTGCACAGACCAGTTCATATCCTAAAAAAACCCTGAAGAGTCCTCAAAATAAGCAGTACACTCTCCTGTCTCTTAACCCAGAGCTACTGCTAGCATATATGTGCTTTTGTCTAAATTACAAAAATGTCATTAACAAATATCATCATAATAAAAATAATTAATTAATTACAACAAGACACTTCTTTTGTGCTGGTGGGTTGAAATGGGCACCCCTCCTCCATTTTGTGCCAGGACCAGTTTTCAAGGAAAAGCCAAGGCTGTATTTAGGTCTGCTCATTCCTATAACTGCATGTCTTTGTGCACGGCACAATATAGAGTGTCTCTGGCAGCACTTACTAAACCTTTCTTTCACGATTTTTCTAACTTGGAATCTCTTTTGAAGCCTTTATCCAATCTTAAAGCCGCGATTCAACTCTAAAGGCTAGCAAAATTGACTTTTAGAGATAAAATGAAAGTTTCCCACTTGGATCCAGAAATGTAACTGCATAGATAAAATACAGAAAAAATCTGCATCATTAGCAATAATATTGAAAAGGATTTAGGGGGGTTTGTTGACTGTGACCTTTATAAAGCACTATCATGATGTGGCTCCCAAAGGAGCTTATGCTATTTGAAGGCAGCACTCAGAGTTCAAATCAAAAGAGTGAGGTGAGGTCCTCCCCAGTGCTCAGAGGCATGGAGACTACAGTGTTAAGGTCTTGAAGGATTGATGGGCTAGAGCAGTGATTCTGTGGTCTTCAGACTAGCAGCATCAGCATCACCTGGGGATTTATTTAAAGTGCAAATTTGTAGGATCCACAGAGGACTTACTAAATCAGAAACTCTGGGAGAAGAACCCAGCAATCTGTGTTTTCATAAGCCTTCTGGGTGATTCTGATGCACGCTTAATTTTAAAAATCCCTGGGTTGGGATATCCCTAGAGGCATGCAGCCAAGATAGTAAAGGGAACTCAAACTATACCATATAAACTACAGATTAAAGAAACTGAGGATGTATAACCAAGAAAAGGGAAGATCTTGGCTACATATTAGAGTTGTCTTCAATTACAGTATTTGTGTAAGGATTAGACTTTTTCCATGTCTCCTCAGAAGGCAGAAATTAGACAAACGAGGAGAATTATTAAGAATGAAAATTCCATTCATCATGAGAAGCTGCTTTCTAAATTATTAATAATTCTTGTATCTCAGAGAGGTAGAGAGTTCTGTGACACTAAAGGATTTAATAGGTGGCCAGATTGCTACATAGTGGGCATTTATAAATGTGAGTTAAAGAGTCAGGGCAGCTGAGAGGGAGGAATTTTGTTTCACCTAAAAAGCTTTTCAAACCACTTATAGCAATTAGATCCTGCATTGTTATTCTTTTAAATTTTTTGGAAAAACTGATAATTTTCCAGATGGTTTTTGGACAGCCCCAGAGGAAATATACCATTGTTTTAACAGTTCCATTTTCTTTGCCTCTTTTTCTATACTATAATTTGGAAGTGTTTCAGATAGTGGAAAGAAATTTTTTTAAAAACCTCCATAATGCTTTCTTCTAGAGATTTGATAGGTTTTCTTTCTGCAGAGCATAATTTCGATCAATGAATATTTTCCCACTTGCTTTTTCTATTTAAAATTTTTTTTCAGTTACAGTTGACATATTAGTTTCAGCTGTACAACATAGTGATTAGACATATACATAACTTACAAAGTGATCACCCTGATAAATCTAGTACCCATCCGACACCATATATAGTTATTAACAATATTATTGACTATATTCTCTATGCTGTACTTTACATCTCTATGACTGTATTTATAATTGGCAAGCTGTCCTCCTAAATCCCTTCACTTTTTTCACCCAGCCCCTTAATCTCCCTCCCATCAGGCAGTTATGAATTCGTTCTCTAAGACTTTGTTAGTTTTTTAGATTCCACATATATTTGAAATTATATGGTATGTGTCTTTCTCTGTATGACTTGTTTCACTTAGCATAATACTCTCTAGGTCCATCCACATTTTCACAAATGGCAAGATTTCATTCTTTATGTCTGAGTAATATTCCATTGTGTATATGTACTACATCTTTATGGACACACAGGTTGATTCCATATCTTGGCTGTTGTAAATGATGATGCAATGAACATAAGGGTGCTTGTATCTTTTTGAATTAGTGTTTTAGATATCTTTGGATAAATACCAAGAAGTGGGATTGCTAGGTCTTATGGTAGTTCTATTTTTAAATTTTTGAGAAACCTCCATATATTGTTTTCCATAGTGGCTGCACCAATTTGCAATCCCACCAGTAGTGCACAAGGGTTCTCTTTCCTCCACATACTCACCAAAACTTTTTGTTGCTTTATTCATTTTGGCCATTCTGACAGGTGTAAGGTGATAGCTCATTGTGGTTTTAATTGGCATTTCCCAAAGATTAGTGACACTGAGCATCTTTTCATGTCTATTGGCCATCGGTATGTCCTCTTGA